TAAATTTGTTGTGGTGTATTTATTAAAAGTATATTTTAATTATGGTGTGATTATAATGTGGTATAGTAAATAAATTTTGTGATCGTAGTATAATTTCCCTACCCATGACAAATTTTGCTATATAATTGAAATGTTGAATTATACTCAAAAAAATTTGATATATTTTTTACATTTTGTAATAGTTGGGTACAAAAAGTGCAAATTTTCCTCTGTCTTTTCCAAATGAAAGCTGATATTTGTTAGTTGGGAGTTAAAGAGTTAAAACATGTACGTCCCCACCCACCACCAACTTTTTTGATAAATTTTAGGGTTTAAAGATACCCGTGACCAACTAAATGTAAACTTGAAGATTTCTGTCAGCAATTCTGCAGTTATTACTCTTTCTTCACCAATCGACGTTCGTCTGCCCAACTATTTCACCGTCTGGATTCAAGATCTGCACAGATAAAAAATTGCTGTACAGAAGAAGAAATTTTACTGAATTAAAAGATTCATTCCGAGGATTTTGGGTTGAGTTTAAAAGTTATCTGATCCCTTATCCTGATACCGTTCCCGTTCACTTCACATATATAGAATATTTTAAGAAATAATCATTTTTTAGGGATAACTGCAGTAAAAGTCCAAATTTTTGAAATACTAGCAAATTTTACCCAAATTTTGATTTGTTGCAACCGTCACCCCTAATATTTTCAAACGTTACAGGTGAAGCCCTTTGTGACAGCTTCCACCCACAACTCCGTCAGTTGACAAAAATATTAACTTTTACTACATTTTTAATATTTTAGAAATGTACAAAAGAGTAACTTTATATTTATCACATTAAATAATTAAAATAATGAAATTGAAAAAATAAGGAAAAAAAAAAACACAATCATCTTCTTATTTTTTAAAATTTAATTAGTTTAATGTGATAAATATAAAGTTATTTTTTTGCCCCCTTTTAAAATATTAAAAATGCGGTCAAAGTTAAATATTTGGTCAAATTACGGAATTGTGAATGAAAACTGTCCAGAAGAGCTTCACATGCAACGTTTGGAAATGTTAGGGATGACAGCTGCATCAAATGTTTGGATAAAGTTTGATAGTATTTAAAATGTTCGAGTCTTTTGCTGCAATTATTCATTTTTTTAAATAATAGGATTGAAAGAAAGAACAATAGAGATTATTTCTATATTTTTGGTTAGACAGGTAGAAATTCTATCACGTGAATAACTTTTTATCAAGAGATTATTCAAAAGAGACAATTTGTCTATCTTTTCTTTCATTTCGAGAGAAATAAAACAACTCATGGTGATGAGTTTTATTAGTAACACAACTTAAATTATATCTTTGAAGGATTACAAAACAATATGCTTAACAAGAAAAATAAGATTTTTAGTAGATTTTGACAAAAATAAATGAAGTGTGAGATTGAAAATTGATAAAAGTTGTGAGTTCCATAATTGTTAGCTGACTAAGATTTTTATCATTTTTTTTTACCAACACTAAACTAGAGCTTAATTTCCTTTGATCAATTTGTCCTAGCTATACTACTCGTGTCTAGTGTAAAATTTCTCTATTTTTACCTTAATAATACTATTTACTTGAAGATATCTCGTAAAAAGTTGCATAAATAAGCCTTCCCTTAAGCATATTTAGAAACGGGCTCGAACATAAATAAAATTTTCTTATTTTTTATATGAAAAACAAAATGAATTTTAATTTCGGCTAGTCCAGCCTAGTAAAATAACAATCCGTCATGTTTATGTCACGTGGGACAACTTCCGATCGTTTTCACTAAAAATAACATTGCTCATTTTTGTAACATTATTTTCAAGTAAGCTTTTATTTGTAATGCATTTAATTTTCTTAATTAGTAAAAAATGGCTTATTTTTATTGTAAAATATGCATTATTTTTTAAATAAGTAACTTCTTACTATCAAAATATTTATAAATAAAAGAACTTATGAATTATTATTATAATCATAATTACTAAGCTCGTAGAGTATCAAAAGATTATTTATTTATAAATAACGTATTATGTATTATAGAGAGTATTTAGGGATGATGACGGGGAGGGCATGGAACAGGTCGGTCATTTCCATTCTATTTTGTCGAGTATTTTTTTTTTCTTACGTTATTCCTATATCCGATTAAAACGGGAAGAGACGGGACGGGTCCCTGTCCCATTTATTGCTCTTAATAAAAAAAAATCAAACTTCAAAAAATCTATTCCCAAAAATTCTCTCCCAAACGGGGACTAGAAAACAATGTTGGAGATTAAAAATCAAATTCAGAAAATCTGTAGTGTCAGTCACTATTAAAGAGTCACTGACACTTGGTTTTCCAGCTGTAATCTTCTTCTGCACTTATATAGGCCAACACCATCCTCGAAACTTTCTTCATTTAACATAAAAAAATGGAGATTAAAATCAAAATTTTCAGATTTGTAGCACTCGGAATTCTGGTGCTTCTGGGTCTCTGCCATGTGTCCTTCGCAGCGAAGGAGACATATATTGTTCACATGGCCAAGTCAGAAATGCCGGCGAGTTTTGAAGATCATACTCACTGGTATGACTCGTCGCTCAAATCGGTGTCTGACTCGGCGGAGATGCTGTACGCTTATTCTAATGTCATTCATGGATTTTCCACTCGATTGACAGCAGAAGAAGCCCAGGAAATAGAAAAGCGGCCCGGAATTTTGTCGGTTATGGAGGAGGTTAACTATGTACTCCACACGACCCGGACCCCTTCGTTTCTTGGTCTCGACCAGAATGCTGCCCTGCTCCCTGAGTCTGACTCTTCGACTGAAGTTATCGTCGGAGTTTTGGATACCGGAGTCTGGCCGGAAAGTAAAAGCTTTGATGATACTGGATTTGGGCCAATCCCAAGTTCATGGAAAGGAGAATGTGAAAGTGGAACAAAATTCACTGCATCAAACTGTAACAAGAAATTGATTGGAGCCAGGTATTATCTTCGTTCAACTCAATTCTGACTTCTGAGTGCATTATTTTCATAAACGCGTGGCAGTTGAAACTTGATTTATTGGTCTGTCTTCAATAGGTATTTCGCAAGAGGCTATGAGGCTACTCTGGGCCCAATTGACGAGTCCAAGGAATCAAGATCTGCACGAGACGAGGATGGCCATGGAACCCACACTGCCTCGACCGCTGCAGGATCGTTTGTTCCCGGCGCAAACCTTTTTGGCTACGCCGCCGGGACGGCGCGTGGAATGGCCAAGCGTGCAAGGGTTGCTGTATACAAAGTCTGCTGGACTGGCGGCTGTTTCAGCTCCGATATTTTAGCTGCCATGGATAAAGCAATTGATGACAACGTTAATGTCCTGTCTTTATCCCTCGGCGGTAGCATGTCGGATTATTACAGAGACAGTATTGCAATTGGAGCTTTTGCAGCCATGGAGAAGGGCATTTTGGTGTCTTGCTCAGCCGGTAACGGCGGACCTAGTTCGTACAGTTTGTCCAACGTGGCGCCGTGGATAACCACCGTTGGTGCCGGAACCCTCGACCGTGATTTTCCTGCCTACGTTAGCCTGGGGAACGGTAAAAACTTTTCCGGCGTTTCACTTTATAGAGGTAACTCTTTGCCTGCTAAACTGCTCCCATTTGTTTACGCCGGAAATGCAAGTAATGTAACGGGCGGCAATCTGTGCATGACCGGTACGTTAATTCCTGAAATGGTTAGAGGCAAAATTGTGTTATGTGATCGTGGGGTGAATCCCAGAGTTCAAAAGGGTTCTGTCGTTAAAACAGCCGGCGGCGCCGGAATGATCTTGACCAACACTGCCGCAAACGGGGAGGAGCTGGTGGCGGATGCCCATTTACTGCCTGCAACTGGGGTGGGTCAAATAACCGGTGACGCAATTAAGGATTATTTGTTTTCTGACCGTGATCCAATGGCCACGATTTTTTTCGAGGGCACAAAGTTGGGAGTCGAACCTTCTCCTGTGGTTGCTGCGTTCAGTTCACGCGGTCCTAACTCGATAACCTCTGAGGTTCTTAAACCGGATATGATTGCACCAGGTGTTAACATTTTAGCCGGTTGGACGGGGGCAGTGGGGCCAACGGGGTTAGCTGAGGACGACAGGCGGGTCGACTTCAACATAATTTCAGGCACATCCATGTCCTGTCCACACGTGAGTGGCTTGGCGGCTTTGTTGAAGGCTGCACATCCAGACTGGAGCCCGGCTGCAATTCGCTCGGCTCTTATGACCACAGCTTACACAGCTTATAAGAATGGTAAGATGATCCAAGATGTAGCCACTGGCAAGCCTTCCACGCCGTTCGATCACGGAGCTGGCCACGTGGACCCCATATCTGCCCTCAATCCGGGACTTATATACGACTTAACAGTTGAAGATTATCTAAATTTCCTCTGTGCATTGAATTACACTGCTCTACAAATCAACGCCCTGGCAAAGAGGAATTTCAGTTGCGATTCTAGCAAAACATACAGCACGAATGACCTAAATTACCCTTCGTTCGCGATATCACTCTCAGCAGATACGGGCAGTACCAAAGGCAGTGGGAGTAGTACTGGTTCTAGTGTGGTGAAGCACACTAGAACACTCACCAACGTTGGATCTCCTGGAACGTACAAGGTTTCAGTATCTACTATCGCCAGGTCAGTCAAAATTTCGATTGAGCCCGAGACGTTGACCTTCAGTCGAGCAAACGAGAAGAAATCGTATACAATAACGTTCAGTACAATCTCAATGCCTTCCAATACAAATGTGTTTGGGAGAATTGAGTGGTCTAATGGGAAGAATGTTGTGGGTAGTCCAGTGGCAATTAGTTGGACTTAAATTTTTATCGTATTTATGCAAATTTCTTGTTAAACTTTTTTTTTTTTTATCCCAGCAAAATGCATTGAGGCTGGGGATGTAATTCATGCATCTTTTCACATTGTCTTGCTCAATGGACAGATTGGATGTATACTATGGAAAAAGAAAAACAGGAATTTGTAATATGATTTTGCTACATGTACACTTAGTTTGACATCATGGATGATATTTTTTAATAAAAAGACATAAATATCTCCCTACTTATTCTTTAGTCAAATCAAGGTTCTCTATTTCTGTTATAGGATAACTTTGATATATTTCTCCTAATAAATAAAAAAGT